TATATATATACACATTCAGTACCAAGTAATCAGGTATCTACAAGAGCTAATAATTCTCGGAAGCTTTAACCTTGCTCCTAATTGTTTCAAGATTGCCTTGATGTTAACTTCTTGGGTTTATGCTATATAAGGATTTTGGACGGCATTATCACAGGACAGAAGCCACTTGTAAATCTCATGTGTCTTGTGCAACGCTGCATGTGCAGTTCAACCTAGAGCTGTAAGAATAAAAGTGTTATGAATGAAAACATAAATAAATAAAAGGAAGGGTCGGGGAGGAGAAGGTCACTGCAAGGTATTTTTTTTCCTATTTAATTGCGTCTGATCTTTCGTCCCCGACAGCGAACGATCCGGGGGTCTGATTATTTCGTGGCAAACGCACAGAAAAGTTCACGGCACATGCACATAACAGGGGGAAAGCAGAGAGAGCAATAGTAGGTACTGAAGAGTTTCTTCCTATCCTGAGCAAGGCCTCCCCTGCAGACAGACATAGCCATCAGAAAGGTGCCAGGAACAAGGAAGCGACCTGGTATTTGTAAGGGGGGAAAAGCATGGAGGGATTAAAGCGAGAGAAGAGGTAAGAGTTTAAAGGGGTCGGTAATTGGACTCGCCCTTTTGTCAGGCTGGGAAGTGTGCGGAGGGAAGAGCCGCCCAGGGCTCAGTCTCTTGGTGGTCGCCCCTTCCTGAGATCATCAACAAAGCTGTTGCAAGCCCCACGGTTCTGACTGGGACTCGCTCCTGCTCCTCCACCCTCAGGCGGGGGCTGCTTTTCTACAGCACTGACTGAAAGGCTTCATCTGTTGTCTTTCCCTCCTTTCAGCCACTTAACCCCTTCCTCTCCTTGGGGCCCCGCTCTCCCTGCCCAGAGGAAAGCCGGGGGGAGTCGCTTGGCTTTGAAAGAAGCCCCGGAGCCCCCAGGGGATCTGGTCCTGTCAGAGCCTCCAGTTGTCCCATTAGGGCCAGAAATTCTGCTGGGGTTCAAGTCCCCCCCGACCGCAATGAACAGCTGAGAAGAGCTCAGGACCTGCCGGCGAAGCGGCGGCCCCTGACACGTAGCTGTCCGACCCTCTCGGGGGCTGGTGCCGCGCTGGGCCGCCCTCGGGGGCTGGGCTGCCGGGCACCTTCTGGTGGGGGTCTCCCAGGGTGCAGCCCACGGGGCAGGGGAAGGGGCTGCAGGAAGCAGAGGCAGGCTGGGCTGGGCTGGGCTGGGGGACCGCAGATACCACCCCACAGCCGGCTGCCCACCCGCCTGCCAGCGCTGGAAAGCGGCTCGTGCAAGACAGGAGAGGGGGTGGAATAAATTAACGCTTTCCGTCCGCAATGCGTGTGCGCGTATGTGTGCACCTATATATGTGTGTGTATGGATATGTATGCGTATGTGGCTGTGCGTATATATGCGCCTATATGTATGCGTGTGTGTGCATATGTGGGCGTATACGTGTGCATGTATGCGTGTGCGCGCGCCGTCCGCAGCGTGCGCGGAGGAAGCCGGTCAGACAATCAAAGACGAGCTGTCCCGGCTGGAAATGAAGGGCAGCCGGAGCGTGCCGGGCTGCCCGGCCCTGAGCGCCGGAGGTCCAGCCGGGGCGGGGGGGAGCGCGGAGGAAGCAGCAGGCTCGGGCCCTGCGTGTAAAACGCGCGGTAACACAAAGAGCTTTTTTATTTTACAACCCGCGAGACCGGCCGCTCTTATATACAGGATCACCTGCCGCCCGCTAACCAGATCCATCCGTCCGTGCTTACAAAAGAAAAGTATTTACAGGACAAAACGGCAGCCCGCCGGGAACTCTTGCTGTTGAAGCCACAGCCACGTGCGATGCAGCGACTGCGCCAGGAATGGACCGTCTCTCGGCTGGGCCCGGCCCGAGCCCGGGCAGGGGCGGGCAGGCCTGGCG